TAGTGAATAGTTGCATGCGTGTTTTCAATTTATTTAAATTTCTCAGTACGGCGATACTTAGTGAGAAGAATCTATATTTAATAAGCTAATAATTTTAAAATGTATACTTTTTTAAGTCAGCGAGAAAAAACTCCTCCAAAAGCCGGCACCATGTAGTAACTGAATTATCATGGGATTGTGCTGCACGGTGGTTAATATTACAACCCTACCTAACTATTTTTTTGCGTCGAAAACTCATTTCGGCAATTCGGTTAGAATTTCAGGAGTTAGCACATCTACTGCATATCTTTAAAGCCAGGTATTTGGTTTAAGACTAAACACAGATTGTGAACAGCTTGGCCAGTTCTCTCACTGGGGTCTTTGGGCAAGACGTCGGTTTGTGTAAATAAGTATACTGTCGCGATACAGCGCCATGGTCTCCATGAGAAAGTAATCAATCTGTTCTTTGCCAATTAAGCAATGGGTTGCCAATGAGCTTCTTCTAAATCTTTATTTAAATTCTGTAAGGCGCGACCAGCTACCAGTTTACCGCTTGCACAATGTGGAGGCTGTTGCTATTTACATCATTCTTTCTTTACAAAATGTCACACTTTGCTGGTAACTAACAGATTATTTCATTTTAATGACAGCACTGTCCACCTTAAAACGTCCAGCACTGTTTTCACAGTAGCACACGCTTCATAATATGATAGAAAAAATGTGGTAGGCTATATATGTACAGTTGTTAGGTTTCGTCTGATCTCACATCTGTGTTTTCGTTTAAACGCCATTTGTTGACAGGCTTCCTTTATATGTGATTTCCTTATTTTGCGTCCACAAACATATGTCGTAGTTAGAATAATTTTGTGCAAATTAATGGCCTCTACAACAGACTTGATTAAGTAAGGTTTTATAACTTATTTGCACGTACTTTATCCGCTTCCTGGTTATGTATAAATTCCGATTATACTCTTCTACGGAAATGGAGTTAAGTCAGTTCCTACTTATATTCTCACCAGCATACGGACGCCCGTTTATCAGATCGCGTAACAGCTTCAATAGATATCCGCCGGGATTGGACTTTGCCAACCCCTACGATTATTTGCTGAGCAAGCTGGCTTCAGTTGAAATACCTTCCTTCCAGACTGAATTTGGGACAACAGGGTGTAGTCTGGTTTTTGTCGAAAAGGGCAGTACACTCGGATGTCGTACCTACGTGTCGACTTCTCCAGGCAAATACAACATATTTTGCAACGTCACATTTCCAAAGATTGAACTCACCTACCTAAACATAGTATGCGAAATGCTTTTGTCTTATTTCTCAGTTTTGGCTTTCTGAACCATGCCTCTACTATGCATAATTTAATTATACGCCGCTGAATCCTACACAAGCCTTATAACTAAACACATGTTTGAAGGAATTCAGCAGCTTTCGGGCATTTTTGTACGAAGTAGACTGAAGTTATAGCAATCAAGACTTCAGTCATAATAATCAGATTTTTTTGTTTAGTCAGATGTTAGTTAGTATCTAAGATGTCAATAATATTCACTTTACTTTGTCGGTTTTTGCAGTTATCCGTATAGCATGCGTATTCAGGCATGCTATCAGTATAGAATGATTTATAGTTTGTCAGGTCATCTATAGGCTTCCATTAAATATTCAGCCAATACCGGCCATGTGGCATGCCGGAGAAGAGGATTCGGAGTCAATTAATCTTAGTTACAATGACGTCCTCGGTTTTGCTCTATTTGAATTGAGCTTTCGTGATCAAAGGACTGGCATAGATGTCATTCGAATGGTTAACGTATTCCCTTTCATTTTCGAAAGGATATCTTCGGATGTTTCCAGTTATGCTTTTCGGAAGCAGTATGCTTGGATGTTTTCGGCTACAAAACGAATTTATTCCCTTTTCCGTTTTCTAATTTTACCTTCGTCGCGTTTGTTTTGTACACTAAACTAAAACCGTGTATGTAAGTTTTAAACATATAATAAATTATGGTCATTTAAATTCGTTTACTTTTCGAGGTAAGAAACAGGCAATGTTATGAACTTAATCAGCCACAATACCTATACGGCACATACCAACCCCGTATTAAGATGAATGTTATCTGTTTC